AATGATTCCCCAGCCATGAATTAGGATTCTATGTAATGACTGTGGCATACTATACCAAGGGAAAAGCGACACGAAATGATGAGCCGTGTCATGACAAAATCTTTTGAAATTTTCAACATTTGTTTGTTGCTTGCTAGAGATTACGATTAAAATTGTTTTGAGTCTTTCGATGAAATTTTGATCTATTTCTATGATTCTGGATAGCAATTCTGTGTTTTCGAAAGCTTTTCTTGCTACATTTCCTGTGTTTGAATTTCCGGCACCACCAGGAGCAGGCTGATCTACTCTTAAGTTCAAAACTTCCTCAAAACGCTTTTGAATTAATCGCTTTCTTTCTTTGACTTCTTCTTGATCATCTTTGCGTGCTTGCCACTTTTTTATTGTCAATCTATAAGATATTTTAAGTAACATTTCAAACAATCTTATCCAGCAATGAAGTGTCGATAATCCATAGACTAAGGCAGATTCATCAGGATCGAAAACATGATTATAAATATTATTCAAATCATTCATCTTCGTTGGTGTAGCCTTGCATATTGGGCAACATTGAAATGATGATGTTCCTGTAACATTTGAAAGGACTTTTCCATCTATTTGTGTCATGTACATCGACTGTTTCACGGATACAGCTTTCCCGTTCTGCAAAATGATAACTGAAGGCTCAAGCTCGTCAATCTGGTCTTGGATTTTTCTCTTCAGTTCTACGGTATATTCCTTTGTTTCTTTTGCAAACTCTAGCATAATTGGACGGCAATATCGAATTGATGACGGCGTTTTGTTGTACCACATGACTTTTCCCTGAAGTCGAAGCTGCAATGGTGTTAAAGTGGCTGCAATCAGGTTGGAGTCTGATGTGTTTGCTGTCAGTTCTTGATTGTATTGACTTTGACCTGAACATCCATCGAAACCCAAAAGGTGATTTCTTTTTGAGTTTCAAAATTTTGAAGTTGAAATTGAAATCACTATTCAACCATATCTTGTATCTTTTACAAAAGTTTCCCCAGTGCGGTATCTATTATACATTTTTGTTAATGATAAGTATTGTCTAAATGAGAGTTAAAAAAAACCTTCTTGTAATACATTTTGAATGTTTTGATGAGATATTTTAACTTCAATGAGACTTGATTTTTTTCAATGTTGCTGAATAGTTTGACATTTTTAGTTCTAATATGTTCTAGACATAGCTTAACTACATCATCTTCAACTTCTTTAGTATTTTCCTTTAAAATATTAGCGAAAAACTCGTTATTTAATTTCATTTTGGTGCGTATCTTAAAATAACAATAATATTTTTAATATAGAATGGCAAAGAAAACTAGATGATTTTCGATAAAAAAAGCAAAATCTCCATACATTTTCACAAAACATGCCCTTACGTTTTGTGGAATAACTTTTTTCACAGGGCCCGGAACGCATTTTTGTTTCCAGATTATTGAAGTTGAAACATGAATGGACATTTCTGTTTTTGTAGTTTTTCATCTGACCAACTGCCCCGAGAGAAATTAATGCTCAAAAATGCCGATTTTCGATAAAAAAAGCAAAATCTCCATACATTTTCACAAAACATGCCCTTACGTTTTGTGGAATAACTTTTTTCACAGGGCCCGGAACGCACTTTTGTTTCCAGATTATTAAAATTGAATAATAAACGAACATTTCTGTTTTTGTAGTTTTTCATCTGACCAACTGCCCCGAACTTTTTTGTAGTTTAAAAATGTCCATTTTTCATGAAAACAAAAATTGAAATTAACCTGAAACAAAAAATTTCCCTTGAATTTTCCGGAAAAACTGAATACAAGATTTTTTCCAT